GGCCAGCGTCGGCTTTGCGGGTCGGGTGTCGATGGAGCTGGACGTTCAGAAGGACCTGGTGGAGGGACCCTTGGCCTTTGACTTCCTTGAAGACCGTACCCGGGAGAATCGCCCACAGGGCGGCACCTCAGCTGGGGTAAGGGGTGAGGGGACCCTGCCCGTCTGTGTCACACACGGCGCCGGGCAGGGGGGGCGAAGCGGCCAGAACCACTCACTGACTGCTAGAGCCAAACGGGCCTGCCCGCTGCTTGTCGGGGGCCAAGCGGTCGCGCCTGGTGCCTCCTGGTCTCCAGCTCGGTTTTCCAGGCTCAGTGGCCAAGCCGTGCTCTGTTACCTGCAGCGTCCGTGTCTCTTTTCCTCCCTCCGGCCCCGCCCCTTTGCTGACGGCTGTTGCACCAGGTGCTGCCTGCCTCCTCGCCTCCTCGGTGTCCACGGCGGCAAGTTCACCCCCTTCTGTGTCCCGTTGTCCTAATTATGTGCTTTCTGTTGTATGTATAATGCCCAAATTTTTCTGCTCGTGTGGCCTTGAAAAGTAGGCCAGCCTCAGAGGCAGCTGGGCTGAAAATGGAACTGAGTAATCAGGTGAGCTGGGCGGGGTGGGGGTGGGGCTGGGCAGAGGGAGACTGGGTTCTGCAGGGGGGCAATAGAACGGGGGGGGGGGGGGGGGCCCGCTGGGCCTTCCGGGAGGAGCCGAATGCGTTGGTGTTTTTTCTCACTGGCCACAGCGCCTTACACGCTTTCCTGCAAGTCAGTATCAAGCGCTGCTATGCTCCCAGGATTGTGAGAGGCTTCCAGCAGGGCCAGCCTTCTGCAGCCAAAAAGGCCAGATGGGCGGAAACTGGGACCTCAGTCAGTATGGAAACCAGGAATGTTGGGGCTGCTTGCTCGCTTTTTGTTGGTTGATTTTCGGGGGCTGCAACCTAGAAAAATGGATGAAGTAAGCTCTAAGGCCCTTAGAATTAAACCCCTAGGGTGTGGTCCAACTTTGTAGGGAACAAGTCTGTTCTTTTGATATGGGCCTTTAAATAGCGCTTAGAACCCTAGGGATAGAAAGGGAGTTAGGTAAGGTTTGAGACCCTCCTATAGAATGATTTTTTTTTTTTTTTGCGTTGGAATCTCTCTGTCACCCAGGCTGTAGTGCTGTGACCTGCTGGACTCAGATGATCCTTCTGCCTCAGTATTTCAAGTAGCTGGGACTGTAGGCGTGTGTCCCCACACCCGGCTAATTTTTTATTTGCTCTAGAACCATGTTACCTGGGCTGTTCTTGGACCCCTGGGCTCAGGCAATCCTCTCGCCTTGGCCTCCCAAAGTGCTGGTATTACAGGCATGAGCCAACATATCTTTTTTTTTTTTTTTGAGCCAAAGTCTCACTCTTGCCCAGGTTGCAGTGCAGTGCATGATCACGGCTCACTGCAGCCTCCACCTTCCAGGCTCAAGTGATCCTTCAGCCTCAGCCTTCCAAGCAGCTAGGACTGTAGGTGTGTGCCACCATGCACAACTAATTTTTTTATTTTTTATTTTTATTTTTGAGTTGGAGTCTCACTCTGTCGCCCAGACTGGAGTGCAGCGGCCGCTCCCGGCCACTGCAGCCTCGCCTGCTAGGCTCCAGCGATCCTTCCGCCTCAGCCTTCCGAGTAGCTGGAATTACAGGCGCACGCTACCACGCCCGGCTGATTTTTTGTAGAGATGAGGTCTCGCTGCCCAGGCGGGTCTCGAACTCGCAGGCTCAGGCAATCCACTCACCTCAGCCTCCCAAAGGCACGATTTTTTTATTTTTAAATTTTATTTTTCTGGTGATGAGGTCTCGCTATGTTGTCCAGGCTGATTTCAAATTCCTGGGCTCAAGCAATCCTCTCACCTTGGCCTTGCAAACTGCTGGGATTATAGTAGGTATGAGCCACCACGCCCAGCCTAGAATGATTTCTTAACATGAAGATCGAGTCCCATTCACTCCCTTTAGATTAAATGCTTTAGTGGTATCCCATGGCCCACAGGATGAAATCCAGATTCTTCATGAATAGAAGGTCCTTATGTACTGGTTCTGGCTAACACCTCCCTTTGAGGTGGGGCCTCTGTTCCCTGTGCACGTTCCTTTCCAGCCGCCTGCCCCATCACAATTTCTGACCGCCACGTACGCTGCCAGGCCTCTGGAGGCCTGGCACCTGCTCTTGGCCTGGTGAGCTAGTTCTTCAGCCTTCCCAGCTTCCTCCCCGCTTCCTCACCCTGTTTCATATCCCTTCTGTGGCAGTGATCTCTTATAATTACAAAGTTTTTTGTTGTGTCCATTACTTGTGAGCTCTGAAGTTGGGGGATGTGGCTCGTGCCGTGTGTAAGTCGGGGTCAGACCCCTGTCCCACCGCAGTGTGATGGACGTACTTTCCCTCTCAGCCTTATCACATGGGACTTTTAGATGAGTAGATGACATCATGTATATGAAGGGCCTCCAGAAAGAGCTCTTGTGAGTGGTCAGTGTCCCCAATGCCAACTATGTCCCCAGTGCCCACTGAGTGCCCGGGAAGTAAAAGGTGATATTACTGATGGGACAAGAGGGCTGTGTAGCTATGGTGAGTTTCGGATTTTGTATTGTGAAAACTCTCAATATATACAAGAGCTGATTATGTTCGACTCATTTTCTGCTGTCTCGGAAGTTCTCAGTATTATCCTGCTGGCAGGCCTTCGGGGTCTCTTTATGACCCTAAGCTCTGCAGTGCTGTCTGGTAACCAGCCCCCATAGCTTGCCCAGTCAGGCAAGGAACTTGGAACCCAAGCTGTTCCTGTGACCTTGACCTTTTTTCTTTTTCTTTTTCTTTTTTTTTTTTTTTTTGAGTTGGAGTCTCACTCTGTCCCCCAAGCTAGAGTGCAGTGGCACGCTCACAGCCACCGCAACCTTAACCTGCTGGGCTCCAGCGATCCTTCTGCCTCAGCCTTCCAAGTAGCTGGAACTACAAGGACGCGCTACCATGCCCGGCTAATTTTTGGATTTCTTGTAGAGAGGAGGTCTTGCCATGTTGCCCAGCCTGGTCTCAAACCTGTGGGCTCAGACAGTCCTCTTGCCTTGGCCTCCCAAAGTGCTGGGATTACAGGCATGAGCCACCACACCACACACCTTGACCTTTTGTAAAGATGTAGGCTGGTGCCTGTCTCAGTCTTCAGCTCTGATCTTCTTCCTGAAGTCTGGGGAAAAGGGGGCTTTCCTGTTAGACTCACACCTGCACTGTAGGATGTTGGTCATTCGTCACAGGTGGCTTTGAGCCCTTGAAAGCTTGCTAGTCCAAACCGAGATGTTCCGCGAATCTAAGACACACACTGAATTTCCAAGACTTGGGACTGAAGAAGATTGGAAACTCAGTACTTTTTTATATTTATTGCGTGCTGAAATGACAATGTTTTGGATATGCTGAGATAATAAAATCTATTATTTAAATAAGTTTCAGCTGCTTCTCTTTTAGTGGGGCCACTAGAATGTTTAAAATTACACACGCGGCTCATATTCTATTCCTGTCATACAGGGCTGTTCATGTCAGCAAGTTCAGAGGGACGGAGGCCAGGCGTAGCCTTGCACCTGGGACCTAGGGGATGTTAGAGCACCTGGTACCCTTTTCCTTTTTTAATATGTTGAGACCCCTTTCCAAAGCCTAGAAGCACAGCAACCCCAAGTTCAAGACTAAGAGGAGTGGTCAAACCTCTTTACCATTACTTTTGGGCAAACAGCAAGCTGCTCAGCTTGGTGACAACCACCAGTGCACTGGGGAGATAAGAGCCAGCCAGGTCACACTCTGAACACCGATTTCTAAATCTGGATTGGCACTCCGGCAGCCTCTGCCATCCAGTTGCAGCTGCCTGAGAAGGTGGCATAAAGAGGCTTGTCGTGAACTGCAGACAGGGCATCTATCTATGACCTCAACCACTCCCTTCCTTGTGTGGAAAAGCCTCCGGGTTGGTGGACTTTGGCCTCTGGCTCCCACAGGTGAAGCCTGTGGCGGTTGGGCTGATTTGACTCTCTGGCTTAGTCACGCTGCCGCCTGTGACCTGGCCAAGGTCTTCCTGGCTGCTCCGTCCCAGCACCTCTTTGGAATTTAATACATGAAGTGTTTACCACAAAAATGTAGGGCCCTTTTGCTTCTCGCCCTCTGGAAACCTCAGTACTTTGGTAGGAAGCTGCGTGAAAGGCAGTGGGCACAGTGCCTTAGCCTGTCAAGCCCCTTCCTGCGCCATTTCTCCCATGGTGAAGTAGGGATTGTCTTAAAGCAATGTGCGTGTATGTGTATATTCTAGAAAATATTAAAAGTTATATAGAACATACAAGACTCGTGGTCCCACCACTCGGAAATAATCACTATGTTTTTTCAGTCGGGCTCTCATTCTGTCTTTGGAGACTTGGTTGAGAAATTAAAGGATTTTTGTAGACGTGTCAGCTCAGAAAAAAAGCTACCTTAATAACCACATCAACGTTATTTATCTGGGGAGGTTTCTTAGGCAGAAAACCAGTTTATATGGTCCCTGGAATGTAACCAACTGGGTCTCTCCCTCTCGAGATCTTAAATTCTGAGAGGGAATAAAAAAGCATCCATACTTGTATGTGGAAAGCCTGTTCTCCAAATGCAATAGCGTCGACCCGCCCTGGCTGCCTGCCTGTCTGTCTGTCACCTCCCAGGCCTCTCCTCTTGTTCCTCAGCGGGATGACTT